CAGCGCAGCGTTTCCTGCAAGGGGCCCAACCATTCCTGCGCCGCCCATCGCCGACACCAGTCCAAGGTCTTCTCCGTGGTGGTCACCTCCCGAACCATACTACAGAACGCGTGGCGGAGCGCCTCCGCACCGCGCAGCACGACCCTGATGCCATTGACAACGTCGTCGTCGCACAAGAGCCGCGTGGCAGTGACCGCTGTGTTCTGCGTCCGCCTCCTCAGGTTGCCCAGCTTCGCTTTCGCGGTCTTCACCGCCCGCGCTTTCGACTTCGGCGCGGGTTGGTCGCATTCTTCCACCAGGAGGACGCGCGTGCTTGCGAAGAGATCTTCCTCGGTGAGGATCCACCGTTTCTCCAGACACAGCAAAGCCAATGTCAAAGTGCGAGATGCGAGAGTCCTGCCCCAGTCCAGACCTGCATCGCAGAAGCTCATCCACTGAGAAGGCGCAATCTTTTTGCCCATGAGGTCAAAGTCCGCGGCCACGCCACTGATCCACCGCGCGCGGGCTCCCTCGGGATCGCTCTCGTCATCCATGCTCAGCTGCACGTCATTCTGTCTCCTGGGCCAAAAGCGCATCGCGAGTTTTGAGTTCGGGTGCGCCCCGGACGACACGCGCAGAGCCTGGCTGCACATCTGGTGGTAGAACGCGCACGACTGCCAGGGGCCATACCCAAGATTGAATATCAACGTGCCCGCCTCTACAACGGGGGCCAGCCCTGCCAGGCTTATCGCCGATGAGAGATCGTTGTGCCAGCGGTGGAATTCGTCGTGCAGACGGACCCCAGTGCACCCGAGACCGCGAGGGGCAGGACTGAAGATGAACTCCCCGCCAGTTATCTGCAAGCCCTCCTGGTCGGTGCAGATGGCGAGGCTCGCTATCTCCAGGGACTCGGGCAGCGGAGGGAACGGATCTGGAAACTTCCCATTTTTTGCGCCCACGAGCAAGCCCAAATACTCAAGCTTATCGCTGTATCTGAACATCTCCATGCCTTTGTCCGCGTAGAGCTCAATAACCTGTCGACACGCAACGCAAATCTATGCGTAGCCTTGCGCTCCTTCTTGGGGACCAGCTTCTTTACTAACTCCCGCTTCTGCGCCAGCGTCCCCTGCGGCGATTCGCGTGGACGCCTGGTCGGCGGTTCGAGCCGAGAGGAAAGCGACCTCGGGGCCTTGGCGTTCCGAAGAGAGGGGGGCGGAGGCGCCTTGTCGACCTCGAAGACCCCCCACTTCTCTGATCACTCGACCCCTGGCAGCCGCCCCAGTCCCTACCGCGGCGTGCCGCGCGCGCCGCGGACCCCCCTAACAGAGAACGGTGGTCCCGAAGACCTGCGCGGGAGCGAACGCGGCCGAGTCGAGCGCCTTCAAGGACTTCTTGGAGGCTTCGACCTCCGCCTGCGTGTCCACGGCATCGACCCCCGTCTCGTCCAGCACCTGTGGGTGCCCGACATGATTGCCCCACCCTCGCCCCGTCCCCGCACCACGTGGCACCGCAGCAAACACATAGTACCCCTCTCGTGCGAGCGCAAAACACATGGTACCCGACACTCGGTCCTCCTCCCCCCCGTCCCCTCCCCCCGCGCGCACCCCGTGGGAGATCCGAGGCATCTCTGGCTGTCGCCGCAGTGCGCGTGGAGACGCGCCCCTGCACCCCCCCCCCGCTGCCGCCTGGGTGGAGGCGCGCCGCCCCCCGGAGGGCGGCGGAACAGCGTTCCGCGAGCCCTGGAACGTCGTTCCGAAAACCAACGAGCAGGCGGCGGTAGCGCCTCAAAGCCGGCTCGAAAAAGGAGGCGGCGGCAGTGCCTCAAACCCGGCTCGAAAACCGCGCGATCCCTGAGCGACCCCTCACAGGCAGGGCTCGCCTGGGGGGCTGGCAGAAGTGCCTCAAACCCGGCTCGACGAACACGCCCCCGCGGGGGGCCCTCCCGCAAACCTGTCTGGAGGCGGCGGTGGTGCCTCCAACCCGGCTCGAAAAAGGAGGCGGCGGTAGCGCCTTAAACCCGGCTCGAAAAACGCCGCCCCGACGGACCTGCGGGAAGGCGTTCCGCGGGAGACAGAACGCCCTCCCGCACAGTGCGACCGCCCCGCTCCCCGGAACCCCTCTCCGTCCGACCGCTGTCGTCCTCCCCCCATTGCCCTGGCCTCCTCCCTCCCCGCCCATGGACCCGCCATGCCCCGCCCCCCGCGCCTCCGCCCCCCGCCCGCCGCAATCCGCCTCCTCACCCCTCCCTCCGCCCCTGGCCCTGGCCCTTTGTACTCGTGGGCACCATTGGAGGCGCCCAGCAGCACGCATCGGCGGCTGGGAAGCACACCGTGCATGCCATCACCTTCCCGGTGCCGACCTGTGCGCCGTCCAGCGCTAGAGACCACCGCCGCTGGTTCTCCGCCGTCAGCCTGCGGGGGCGGCGGCGGCGACCGCGCGGAGAGCGAGGGAGGGTGGACAGGCCATGGTCCCGGAGGGTGGACAGGCCATGGGCCGCGGAGGATGGGGGAGGCCGACTGAGGGAGGAGAGGACGAGGTCGCAACACGCGGTCAACAATCCTAACATAATACCAACTGCCTGGAGGACACGTAGTAATTGAGCGTCTCGTAGGCGGCCGTCGCTCTGTCGGCGCTCCCGGGGTCCATCTGGATGGTCTGCAGGCTTTTCGCCGATCTCTCGGCGCGACTCACTTTCTTGTAGAAGGCCGTGCGCTGCCGGAAGCCGAGTCGCGCAGGCGCGGCGCCGTGCGCGGCGTTCAACCCATGCACGATCTGCCTCGTAGTCCTGACGCCAGAGCCAGCGGCGTTGGCGGTGGCGACGGCGAGAGCCCCGACGTGCTCGCTGGAGATCGTCGTGGCCCGTCCTGTCTTGCTCTTTCGCACACCCATCTGGAGGAAGTTGCTCTGCTGCCATCGAAGGTCCGCCGTCGACGTTTCCCACAAGGCCACGACGTGATCTAGCACGTCGTCTCGCCAGTCGTCCATGACCTGCAGCACGGGGCCTCTGAGGACCTTGCGCCGCCCTCCCCTGGCAGCCACGCGCGCGCCCATGCGGCGGATGAGAACGTGCAGAACGTCGTCGTCGCCCAGGTCCTTGCTGATCCTGGAAGGATCGCAATGGAAGCTCCGGGGCCCCAGGAAGGCCCCCCCGTCACGCCCCAGCCCCCACAAGGTACCTTGTCGGCCCGCCCCCGCCCCGCACCGAGCCCCCCCTCCCTGGAGCGCCTCGAAAAACTGAACCTCCTCGAGGGGGCCCCCCAGCTGTAGTTCGAAATCCGTCGTCTCCTGTAGACATTGCGGCGTCTTCCCACGCGGGCGGCGTCCTCCGATGCCGCGAGCTCGCCCTTGTCAACGAAGCCCCTGCGGATGCGCGCCACGCAGCCTGCGCCCACGGAGACAACGGCCAACGTGGAAGCGGCCCCGTTTCCGAGGGGCCACTCTACGAGCATCTGGAGCAAGGATTCCGCTCGCTCCAGATGCGCCGCCCTGTCCTGAGGGCGGCGCACCTTCCACGCGAACCCCCGCGACACGCAGTCCCACAGCCATGCCAGCACGGCCGTGACGGACATGAACCAACTGCAATCGCCATCCTTCGCCTCCTCCACTGAGCCTGTAGGGATGACACCCGCAAGGTTGTCGCCCTCGCTGTCTTCTCAGGCCCGTTTCTTACGAAGGGATCTTGTGCTCTCCCGGAAGTGGGTCGCATCAGTGCCATGCTGCTTCAGCATCTCCTGCGCGCGCTGGAACGTCCCGCAATCCTTTTCTGTCCTGCTGTGCTCGCCGTCGGTAAGCCAATCCAGGATCCGCGGAAAAGACATCCAGAGGCTCACTGGCATGCCGCCGCACGTGGTTGGAGCGCTGCACCGCGCGAACTCTGCTGGGAAGGGTCGAGTGCCAGGAACAGACAATGCGAACGCCTCGGTGTTCCCCTGCAAGTCGCTAGCCCACGCGGTGCTGGCTGGCTTGTCGCCGCACGGTGGGTGCGAGATCTGCCAATCAGCCCATCCATTACGGTCCACCTCCGTCGCCACAGCCACGCCGCATTCGGACACCAGGTGGATGCTTCGATCCGCGTCGCCGCCCTCCGTCCTGAGAAGAAAAGGCCGCTCGAACTCAGAGTCTGCGAAAAGCTCGAAGGGCCCATCCTCGAAGCAGGCTCCTTCGCCGTACACGCGGCGCGACTGTCCTGTAATTGTGTCGTGCAACAGCTGGAACTCTCCGAAGTCCCACAGGCGCCACTGCGCACTGGAGTCAGCCATCACAAAAGCACGGCCTTGCACGGCCTTCCGCGGAAGCCTCCGCGGCTGCCAGCTTGAGCCGAAGCAGCTTGAGCACAGCCAGCTACAGACAGACATGTTGACAGACGCACATGCTGCAGTGCCCCCACGCAATCACGCACGCTCATCCTCGTCGTCCTTCTACTCCTCGTCGTCGTCGCCCCCCTCGTCCTCCCTGCTCGCTCTCGCGGTCGCGGTCCTCGAGCTCCTCCAGAGCGTCGTCCTCCTCCTCCCCCTACAGTTCCTCCTCCCCCTCCTCGTCCTCGTCCTCGTCCTCCTCCTCGTCCTCCTCCTCCCCCTCCTCGTCCTCCTCCTCCTCCTCCGCCTCCTCCTCCTCCTGCCCCTCCTCCTCCTGTTCCTCCCCCGACATGTCTTGCTCGTGCTGCTGCTCCTGCTGCGTGTGCACCCCCCCCTGGTGCTTCCGAAGCGCGTGCTGCCCCTGCCTCCCCGTCCGATCTGGCCGATCCCGGTGCTCCTGCAGCGCCAGCAGGTGGGGCAGGGGGGAGAGGCGGAGCAGGAGGCAGGGGAGGAGTAGGCGTCCGTTTCCCAGACTCTGCCTCGCGGGGCAGCTCGAGAGCTGCAAGGGTCTCCTGTCTCTTAGAGAGCAAGCGCGGCCGCCTGCGCGGGCAGCCGCGCGGCTGCCCGATAAAGAAGGCCCATCTGGCTTCACGCCGAAACTGGCTTCACGCCGCAAACTGGCTTCGCGCCGGAACTGGTTTCACGCCGCAGCTCGCCCGCCCCCGCTCACTTCGCGCCCTTGCCCTTGCTGTCGCCCTTGCCCCTCCGCTCGGGGGGCGCCCTCTCCTCGCGCAAGCGCCGCGCCCTCTCGAAGCGCGCGTCATCCCACCGCGGCCCCCTGCTGCGCCGGTCGTTCCCCCTGCGAGGACGAAGCCTGAATAAAGGCTGGCTGGGCGCCGAAAGGAAAACACAAGCGCCCTCTCTGGAGAGGGAGGGGGCTGGCCGACGCCGAAATGGACGGACGGAGGAGGAGGGAGAAGGGGAAGGGGAAGGAGGAGGACGGAGAAGGAGGAGCAGGAACAGCAGGAGGACGAGCAGGGAAGTGGGGCGGGGGGAAGTGGGGGGGAAGAAGGAGGACGAGGAAAGGGGGCAGGAGGAGGAGGAGCAGGAGCAGGCGGAGGAGGGTGGGAAGGAGGAGGGGGAGAAAGGAAGACGAGCAGGGGCCTGCCCGACCCCGTGGTGCCCGAGCCGCTGGACGCCAGCAAGTCGTCGAACACGTTGCGCACGCGCCTGTTGTTCCAAGTGCAGTCCCACGGCGTGGTGCCCTCGTTGTTCCTCGCGTTCGGGTCTGCGCCGAGAGACAGCAGCATGCGCACCTGGCTTAACGCCGCAGTGGCCGCAGCTTTGTGGAGCGGAGTGGCCCCGCGCCTGTCCACGACGTTCAGGTCGGCCCTGGCCTCGACCACCTGGCGGATCATCGCCGCGCGGCGGTCGCCATGCTGGCTGTTGTTGGAGAGCACGTGCAAGGCGGTTCAGCCGCACGCGTTCGGCGCGTCGAGCTCGGCCAGCGGCGCCGCGGGAAGCAGCTGGCAGAGCGTGAGCGGCGCGTTCTCCCTGAGGGCCCCCCGGTACCCTTCGGGCCCCCTCCCCTGAGCGGGGCTGTCGGTTTTCTCGCAGACTCCGCTGTGTTAGAAAAAGTCCCCCGTCCCCGTCCTGTGCCACCAGGCGCCCCCCTGTGCATCGTTGGGGCCCCAAGTCCTCTCCGACGCCTTCTGGGCGAGCTCGAGGACCAGGTTCGTGCTATCGCTCTCCGCGGCGGCGCCCACGCCCACGCCGACCTCCTGTGCGAAAGCGCGAGCCAAAGGCCCCGCCCCTTGGGGAGTGGCAGGCGCGGCAGCTGCCGCAGCGCCAGCGGTGTGCTCCAGGCCTGCGGAGCAGGCGGCACCTGAGCCCCCAGGCGCGTCGCCCCTCGGCGTGGTCTGCGCGGCGGCCTCTGCGGCAGCAGGTGGGGGCTGGCTTTGCGCCGGAGCGATCCCGCCCGCAGCTTGCTGCAAGAGAGCCGACGCCCGCAGGAGAGTTGCGACGCTCGTCTGCATCATCTCCTGCCTCTTGCTGTCGCTGGCTGCGCCCGCGGGCCCCAGCGCGTCGTCCGCCCGACGCTTGAGCGTGGCCACGAGCCGCTCGTGATCCTTCAGCATGCTCTCCACCTCCGTGAGCTCCACGTGGTCGTCGAAGTCGTCCTCCTGCGTGGCGGCGCCCTTCTGCTGAGAGCTCTTCTCCGAGGCAGGCCCGCGGAAGGCCTCCGTCCCTGAGCTCTTGGACCTGGGGCCCGCGGCCGCTTTCCCGAGCGGCTCGGAGGCCGCCTTGACGGGTGGGGGCCCCGCTATCACGTGGCCCTTGAGCTCCGCGTCATGGGCCGGCGCTGCCGTCTGGCTTCCCGCCGCATCGGCCGCGCAGAAAGACGCGGCGGGCGAGGCGCCCCAGCTCTTCGAGGCGCTGCCCTCGACGCCGCTCTCGCGGCCCCTTGGACAGCCTTGCGCTTCAAGGGCGGCTCCTCCGGGGCGGATTGGGCGGGGGAGGCCGACGGCGCAGCCTTCGGCTTCAGGGGCGTCTCCTCCGCCTCCCCCTCCGCCTCCGCCTGCGCCCCCCAAGGAGAAGGGGCCCTCTCCCCGTCCGCCTGCTCCTCGTCCTCCTCCTCTTCCTCCTCCTCCTCGTCCTCGTCGTCCTCGTCGTCATCGTCGCCCTCCCCGTCGTCGTCCTCCTCCTCCTCCTCCCCCGTCATCCTTCGCGATAGGGGCGGCGGCCCACCCCTATCGTGAACCTCTCCCGTGTTGTGCCGACCCCCACTCCTTGAAGTCGCCCTCCGCGGGGTTGGCCCCCGGCGGCGGGCGCTCAGGCTTCGGCGGGCGCTTCGGCGGGGTGCGCGGGCGCGAGGCCACGCGCGCGCGGTCGGGGGCCTCCGCCGCCCGCTTGGCCGCCGTTGCGCCAGCGGCGCCCCCCTCTGCGGGCAGGGGGGCGGAGGGGGGTGGAGGGGGGGGGGGGAGAGGAAGCCCAGGAAGTGGCGAGGGGGGGGGCAGCAACAGCAGCAGCAGCAACCCCAGCAGCAGCAGCAGCAGGTGGAACACTACAAAAAGTCCTGCGGCACCGGGGGCATCATGGGAGGCATCCCTGGCGGACGCAGCCTCCTCTCGTCCTGGTGGGCTGGGCCAACTGTGTGACTGCGCGCAAGTTGCGCAGCGACGCAGTGGGCGCGGGGGGGCAGGGTGAGTTGAGAGGGGGAGGAGAAAGAGCAGGAGCAGCAGGAGAACGAAGGAGGGTCAGGGAGACAAGGTTTTGGTTGGACTCGATGCCTGCGAGGGTCCAGGTGCACGCGGTGCGCTCGACGAGGCGGGGGCCACAGGCGCAGGCGCACTGCTGGCCGCGTCGCCCTGGGCGACGGGCTCATGCCCCCGGCTTCCCGCCGAAGAAGCAGGCGCCCCGCCCTGCGGCGCGAGGTTGCTGTCGGCCCCCAGCAGGATTTCCGCGCTCATCCAGAGCTTTTCGGCCTCGCACCTGAACTCCGCGGCCGACGTCGGCGGCGGGGTGAGCGCGAGCACCTCGTTGTCCTTGGGGCCATGCGCCCTGCAGAGCGCCACGGCGTCGCGGATGTACGCGGAGTCGCCCGCCATGTCGTCGAGGTACTCCTTCGCCGCCCCAGCGCTCGCCAAGTCGACGGCCCGCTGCCCGCCCAGTTCGCGCGGCCATCGAACCAGCCAGTTCGAATACAAGTGCTTCCTCTCCTGGCGGAGAAAGATCGCCTTTTGCGAGCCTGATGGTCGCGTGCAAGAAAGGGCTCTGTCTGTCCGGGTCGTTCCCGTAGGCCACGGACTCCAGGGGCAAGGCGCGCAGCTGAGCCTGGTTCAAGACGCTCGTGTCGGGCGGCGCCCGCATGCGCACGGGAGTTCCCCCGAGGCGGAGGGCGCGATGCACCCAGTGCTCGCGGCCGTGGTTCATCGTGTGCACCGCGTTGAAGAACATCGCAGGGGGGCCCGCGTCGCTCTGGAGGTAGCGCTGGTGAGTCTCCTGTGCGAGCCCCGAAAACTGGCTTGGCGCCGCAAGAAGACCGCGGGCTCGCCGCCGTGGAGAAAACGATCGACGGCAGGGATTGCCGCCGCGGGGACATGGCAGAACGCGCGGGCCTGTAATGGGCCTCCTAGATGTGCGCGCTACGCGAGCAGAGAAGTCAAAGCTTTTCTGCCTGGTAGCGGTTGCAGTTTCTCTTGGGAGCGACGCCTCGATGTTTGAGCGCAACGCGGCGACGCGAATAGGGTTGCGAGCATGCCGAGCGAGAGAAAGCCTTTGGCTTTCCCGATGTGACACCGCGAATCAAACGCGACCGTGCGAGCGCGACGCGAGCCATGCGAGACAAGGGGGCACCGCGCGCCGACGCGAGCGCCCGCCCGCCCGCCCCCCACCCCCCCCACCCCGGCGTCGCCCTAGAAACCCCTGGCGCCCTTGGACCGCGAGTTTCCATGGGGCGGCCGCGGGCCCCTGCTGAGCGGAGGCGACGCTGCGCGGCGCGAGTGCTTATCATGCCAAACGCACGCAAGAAGCGCCAATTTGCTCCGAGACAACACAAATAAACTGGAACGCGGAGCAAACTCGCGCAGAGACAGCTTCAGGGGTAGACGACATATGCCGCATTGCTGTGCGATACGAAAGATCTGCGTATGAAAACCTTACCTGTCAGATGGGGTGGACCATCACCACCCCCTCCTCCTCCCCCTCCTCCTTTTCTCCCCCCCCCCTCTCCTCCCCTCCCTCAACATCATCGCCCTCCTCCCCCCCCCCCCCCCCCCCCCCTCTCCTCCTCCTCCCTCCTCCTCTCTCCTCCTCCCCCTCCTCCCCTCCTCCTCCTCCTCTGTCGTCTCTCCTCCTCCTCTCCTCTCCGCCTCCCCTCTCCTCCCCCCCTCCTCCCCCTCCTCCTCCCCCTCCTCATCCTCCTCCTCCTCCCAGTACAACACCAAATACAACATAAAAGCATCACGTACAACATAAACCACGTGAGGACGAGGACGAGGACGAAACACCACATACAACACAATCCACGTGAGAGCTACAACGCACCCGCGTTCGGAAGCGGCGGGCGCGCAAAGCAACCTGGCAAACAACGCAATAACAAAACTGCAGCGGAAACGGGGGGGAGGGTGTGTTTCGATCATCCCAAAGCATCCGAAGAGTTCTGGCTTGCCAAGGCAGTGGCGGGCGCCTGGCGGGCGGTCTGCTGCGCCAGGTGAGGCGGCGGAGGCCCTGCCGGGGCCTTGGCCGCCATCTGGCTTTTCGCCGCAAAAGCCGCCGCCGACCGCGCCCGCCGCGGCCGCTGGTCGGCTGCCCACGCGAACGCGTTATTCAGACCGCTGTCTGACCCCCGCCTGTCCACGCCATTGGAGAGCCGGCCAAACCAGATGCGGCGCCGCGTGGCCAGCCAGTCCATGAAGACCTGGCGGTCGTCGTCGTCGTCGTCGTCGCCCTCCTCCTCCTCCTCGTCCGCGTCGTCGTTTTCACTCCTCGTCGTCGACGTCGTCGTCCTTGTGGTCGCCCTCGTCGTCGTCGTCGTCCTCCTCCTCCTCCTCCTGGTCGTCGTCGTTCCCGACGTCGCCCCCCTCCCCCTGGTCGCCCTCCTCGTCGTCTCCTTCGCCTGGCGCCCCGCCGCGCCACCTGGCAGCGGACGCCCGTGATGCGGCGCATGATGGCCGCGGTCACCACTGGCGCCCTGTGCACACTCTGGTTGCAGTGGATGAGCACGTCGAAGCCAGCCGCAAGGGTGTCCGTGAACTGCGGCACGAACGCGTCGAGGTTCTCGTCGGCCACCCTGAACCTCCCACGCGGGTCCACGCGAGTCCAAACCAGAACCTGGCTTCTCGCCGCATCTGGGTAGTTGAAGGGGTCGCGGCCGCGCGTGCAGTCCACGACGCAGCGCACGCGCGCGGCGTCGTCGGCCCAGAAAGTGCGGTTCTCCACCTGGCACCGCTCCGCGAGGAGCACCCGCCCAGCGAGGCTCTGCGGGGCCCGAGGAACGGCCGCCGCGGCGAACCTGGTCGGCCCCTGCCGCCCTGGGAGAGCCCCCCCCCCTCCCCCCCCTCAACATCGCGGGCGCTGGTGGGGCGCTGGCTTAACGCCGAAACCCAAAGCGAGGGCGCGAAGGGGGCGAGGGCGAGCGAACTCGAGCCACAATGGCAATTGCGACGACGACGGCGTCGGCAGCGGCGGAGAAGGCCGACAAATATAGCAGAGGGGAGGGAAGAGAGGGATACCATAGGGAGGGGCAGGGGGATGGATAGAGGGAGGGAGGGAAGGAAGGATTTTCATGGCGAGGCGACGCGATGCTGACACCATGATCAATCAGACGGCACGCGGCGCAAGCCCACGGCGCCATCGGCCACTTCGGCTAGATCTTAAGTCGCCTTTGCAACGCGGGGCCATATGCCCCGAACCTACCAAAGCATTAGCCTACCCCCTGCGGCGCGCTCGTGATTGACCTACGGCGACGTTGCAGGGGGCAGCGAGGCCGCACAATCACGCGCTACATGGCGAACAAAGCCTTGCGGTGGATGAACATGCTACAACTGAGACTAAGTAAAAGGAATCACAAAATATCACAAATGAGACCGAACACGGGACCCAAGTCAATGTTGCGTTCCCTCCGTCGTTTCTCCTTTTGAGTTCTTCGCGCTCCGCATCCTCCCCCTCCCCCCACCCCCCCCATCCTCCTCCTTCACTGTCTACTCCCTACCCGTCGAAGTACAATCACACCATCGTCGGCTTCGTTACTCGCGAAGCGTTTCGCAGTGGCCGCCCATGGCCTGGCCACCCCTGTCATCGCAGAGAGCACTGCAGCGCGAACGACCACCCACTGACCCTATGAATGCTTCTTTTTTTTGCTGACCCTATGAACGCTCCTAGTAGCGCGCTCCAAGACATCCAGAATGTGGCCCGGGAATGGTGTTCTGGGAACAGGAAGAACACGAAGTTGCCTACAGTTGGCTCCGGGGTTTCAAAATGTGGCCCGGGAATGGTGTTCTGGGAACACGAAGAACACGAAGTGGCCTACAGTTGGCTCCGGGCATGCACAATGTGGCCCGGGAGTGGCGTTCTGGCAGCGCGAGAGCCCAAAAGTGACGACAGTTATAAGGTTTGGATGACCCGCTCGGATTATCAACATGATCTGCGGGCCCCATAGGGAAGGGGTTCCCGCCTGAGACTTTCTCACAATTCACTCACAAACAAGGCTCCCGCCTGAGACTTCCTCCAAATTCAGGCCTGAAGAGTCCAAAAGTGACGACAGTTACAAGGTTTGGATGACCCGCTCGGATTACCAACATGAAGCGCGGGCCCCATAGGGAGGGGCTCCCGCCTGTGACTTCCTCGCAATTCACTCACAGACGAGGCTCCCGCCTGAGACTTCCTCCGTACTCAAGCTTGAGGAGCCCAAAGTGACGACAATTACAAGGTTTGGATGACCCGCTTGGATTACCAACATGATCTGCGGGCCCCATAGGGAGGGGGCTCCCGCCTGAGACTTCCTCACAATTCACTCACAGACGAAGCTCCCGCCTGAGACTTCCTCCAGGTGAGTATGTGAATGAGTGAGCGTGTGACAGAGTGCGAGTGATGATGATGATGATGATGATGATGATGATGATGATGAGTATGTGAGTGACTGAGCGTGTGAGAGAGCGCGAGTGATGATGCTGATGTTGATGATGAGAGAGTGTGAGTGAGTGTGAGTGTGAGTGAGTGGTGATGATGATGAGTGAGTGAGTGAGTGTGCGAAGGCAGAAGAGGAGAGGGGGTGGGGTGAGTGTTCCCGCGCGGGGTGTGCAGAGAAAACAAGAAGCCCACTTTGGATGTGGGGAAAAAGAAGAGGAGGAGGAGGAGGAGGAGGAGGAGGAGGAGGAGGAGGAGGAGGAGGACGGGGAGGAGGACGGGGATTCTGCACGATCCCAGCCAGGGCCCCGCTGGGCGCGGGCGGGCGGATCGGGCGTTGGCAGAACTGGGTTTAGGGGGACCTGGTTTTCAAAATGTGTGCCGGGGGGCGCCCCCCCCCGCTCCATTCCACTAACCGGAAATGCCGTAACCCGAAAAGCATCAGCTACGGAAGACCTGGTTTAGTGATTCCAATCCATGTTTTGGGCTTCGGGGACCAATCACTAACCAGCTCCCCTCAACCGGGGTCCTGGCTATACCCGAGCGGAGGCCCGTGGGCACGGGTCCCCGACGCTTCCGAGCGCCCGCGCCGCCTGGAGCATCTCCGCGGGGATCTCGAACATCTGGGGCGGGGCGGCGCGGCGTCGCACTCCCGTGTGCGCCGACCCTCCGCCTCCACCCTCCGTACCCTCCCCAACGAGGAGATCCGACGAGCACGAAGAACATCATGGCACCCTTGCCAGGCCGGCCTCGACCTCATACCTCGGTCCCTCTGTACATCGGATGTCCAGGTCCGAGGAGCAGCGGACCATCCCGAGACGAAGCCCATCACATGCCGAAAAGGCCTCGCCGTGGATGACCCCCATCCACCTTCCACCCCCTCCGGCCGCCGCGGAAGCGCGGAAGAACTCACCGAAACTCATGGAGGCTTTACGCATTTCAAGAGAACCCGCAGAGGCAGTGATCTGTATCGCCCTGCTTCTGGCACCAAACCCGCCCCACCCTCTTTTCGGCGGCGAGCCATCGGCGGCGAGCCCGGGGGGGAAGTGAGAAGAAGCGGGCCTTCTCAGAAGGCTCGGAAGTCCCCCGGCCTTCCCCGACGACACAGAAAGCTTCTCAGAAGGCGCGAGGGCTGATGAGACGTCCCGCCGCCTTCTGACAAGACCTCCTCCTTCTCACTTCCCCCCTCCACGTTGCCCCTGACCCCGGCTGCCACCCCTCCGCTTAGGTCGGGAGAGGTCCTCCTACAGGCGGATTTGGGACGCAAAACATAACATAGTCAACCAATAATCAACACATGCTCAAGCATACCTCAAAAATCGTCTCCCGACAATTGTTTGAATACTCTTACCAGCCTGGAGCATATCCCTGTCCCTATGCTGGGCATCTCCTCGTCACGATGCCAAGCTCAGGGATTCCCTTTTTTTTCGAGGGCGCACCCCTGAGATTGCCATCGCCTTTTGGCGTGTCAATCTTAGGGATTGGGATAGGTTCGAGGCTGGTAATACTCCTCCTGTAGAGGGGCATGCCCGACTCAGCCCTCCGCCCCCCCCCCGGGCCGCGGCGCAGGCCACGGGGGCCGAGAGGGGGGGAGGATGCGATGCGCTGACGACGTGACGACGAGGAGAGGGAGGATAAGGGAGGATATAAAGGCGTGGACAACATGATCGACATCGCCAAACACTGGCGAAATCAACGCGTGTTTTCGTTGTCGCCCCCAAAAAAGACCACGGTCTGTGTGACGACGAGGAGAGGGAAGATCAGGGAGGATATCAAGGCGTGGAAAACATGATCGACATCGCCAAACGCTGGCGAAATCAGCGTGGGTTTTCGTTGTCGCCCCCCCAACAAAAACACCACGGTCTGTGTGGAGGGGCATGCCCCACTCAGCCCTCCGCTCCCCCGGGCCGCGGCGGAGGCCACGAGGGTCATGACGGGCGTGTCCCCCTACAGGGGGATTTTCGACGAAACATAAAAATACACTACAAATATACCAAAAAAGGTCAACACATGCTCAAAAAATAATACCCAAACTATTGGTGGACTATGTTTGGACTATGTTGGGGGTATCTTTAATTGTTCGTCGAAAATGCCCCCTCTAGGGGGACGGGCGTGTCCCCCCACAGGGGATTTTCTACGAAAAATAAAACATACCCCAAACATACCCCAATAAGGCCAAACAATGCTGGGGGTATGTTTTATTTGTCTCCAAAACCCCCTCTGTAGGGCGACGGGCCCGACTTAGCACGAGGGCGGGGGGCGGAGGGCCTGGCAGCCCGCGCGCGGGGCCAGCGCCGCCGCGACAGCCAGCGGCAGCCTCGCGCCCGCGGGGCGCCCGCGGGCGGAGGGGGGGCGCGCCAGGGCCGCGCGCGGGCGGCGAGGAGGGCCCAGCGAATGGCAAGGCGCAGTGTTGCGATGCTCGGAAAACGAAGAGGCTGCTTTTCCAGACTCGAAAGGTAGGAGCCGTGGCGGCTGAGACACAGCGGCTCGACGATGAAGCAGGAGAGGGTAAAGACGATCCGACCCAAAATGGGCCAGACCGAGGGCCAGGGATGGTAATGCGAACGAGCACGAGGGCATTGATAGGACAAAAATGAAATCGCTTGGCATGAAGCAAACGGGTGCTCCGAGAAGCGGACCCTGGACTCTGGGGCCGCTCCCAAGGTCCAACTCCGAATCTCGGCGGTGGACAAGCCTCCCTTTAGTAAACCTCCCCTTAAGGAAGACGGCCTGGGGCCGAAACCGACGGACCTGGACCCACAAAAGTGACGGCCGCGACGCCCTCTCGCGAACCGAAAACGGCCAATTCCTGAATCGACGTGTCAGGGTAGGAGGTCTATCCACCTCCGAAGCGGCTTGGGAGCTCCGAGATCCCTGCGAGCCGACGCTCCAACATAAACTTTTGGAGCGGCTGGGTTTGGGCAGTCTTCGGCCTCTGGGGGCTCTCGCTCGGCTTCGTTTTTTTTGTTCGCTCCCGCTCGGCTCTCGCTCGGCTTCGGGAGCGCCGGAAAACCACTCGGGGCGAAAAACCGGCCCTGGGGAAGCGGTCGGGACCTCTCGGGCCCACGCACCACAAAAAATGGTGCAGCCAGATGTCTGGGATAGAGGGCAGAAGCGCCACCGAAACCTACCAGAGATGGAGAGCAACTCGTGAAGGTCAAGCCCATGCGTGCGCGAAACTGTGTACATGCTAGAAGCATCGCGCGTGCGCTCAGGTTCTAGCGCAGGCTAAACAGTCGATGGAAGCGCTTCGACAGTGCTATCATGCGCCACAAGCGCGTGCCATAGTCGTACCCATCCGCACCCTCATCCCCATGTGCATCCTCCTCACCCTAAGCGTCGTCATCGTGCTAATCATTATGATCGTACTTACCATATTCAATAACACCATGATCAACAACATCCTGGGAACATCAGTGGCCTGGTGCTGCAAGCCATACCATCACGTCAAGCTCGCACAACATCATCATCATGATCATCAGCAGCATCAGCATCAGCATCAGCATCAGCATCAGCATCAGCATCAGCATCACCATCATCAGCATCATCATCATCATCACCATCACCAGCATCATCATCATAATCATCATCAACATCATCATCATCGTCATCATCATCATCATCACAATCACTAACCACCGTTATCATCGCCAAATTCAACATTGACATCACCATCATCGTCATGACCCGATGCAACCGAATCGTCGTCTTAATTTTCAATCCCGTCACCATCATCAGCACCGCTACGCTAGTCCTTCATGTTGCCACTGTCACCGTTGAGGACAACAGATTCCCCAGGATCACAAGAATGAACATCAACATCGTAATCGTCGTGGTCGTCGTCGCTGGCCTGATGCTCCTGGAGAGGCCTCTGGGAACATCCGATTGCGCGCCTCCAGGGGCGTTTTGGGGTGGTGGGGTGGGCTCCTCGAATATGTTTCGAGGTTCTCCCGGGCCCCTTGGGCCGTCTGGAGAGACTCTGGAGGACTAGGAGGCCAGTCCATCGAGTGCGAAGAGGCAAATACTTCAGAGCCTGTGCTTTCCATTGGTTCTTCAACGATTCAGGCGTCCTGCTGACCTCTTGGAAGCATCTTCGGAGCTATCTTGGGGGCCCCTTGGGGCCTCTTGGTGCTCCCTGGGGGCCACAACGGGCTTCGCAGGCTATCTTCGGGCGCCCATCTTCGGCAACAATCAGGCTGGGCACTTCGAGATCGTACGAGTCGTTTCGGGAAGCTCCTGCACGCTCTTGGAGCCGTCTTGGTGGCCTCGTGGCCTCTCTCCACTTGGGCCTCACTCGGGCAAGCTGGGGGCCTCCAGCAGCCTCAAGAAAGGGGCACAAGGAACAGCATTATCATGATAATGATGTTCAACACCAACCTCAGCGCGCCGAGCGCATCAAAATCCGTATCACCAACATCGTCACCATCAACGTCGTCGTCCGCAGCATCAACATTATCATCGTCATGAACACCGTGGCCCACAACATCACCCCCTATCATGAGCATGAACGATGCCACTACGTACTTCCATCATAACCATCACCACCACCACCATCACCATCATCACCATTATCACAATCCTCATCATAACCATCATCATCATGATCACCATCGCCCTCCAGGCCTCCCTCCACCGCGAAACCATGGTTATATCACGTAACGCGCAAGACTAATCGTAATGAGGATCATCACCATCATCATCATAATCATCATCATAATCATCATCATCATCATCATCATCGTCGTCATCATCATCAACAGCATCATCACCACCACCAGGAAAACAAAAAGTGACAGAACCATAAAAACTCGGAGGTCCGCGCGGCTTTCTCGGATCGGCGCTGGGGCCCCCCGGCGGCGCCTCCGGCGCCGCCCCTGGCGCGCTCCGCGCGCCAGCGAGGGGGGTCCAGCGCCGATCCGAGAAATCCGCGCGGACCTCCGAGTTGTTATGTTTATGCCACTTGTTGTTCCCCTATAGGCCCTAACCACCACCACCACAATCATCATCATGGTAGAGGCCTCTGGGAACATCAGGCTGGCTGCGCGCCTCGCGAAGTGTCTTGGACGTGTAAGGGGACTCGGACGAACCCTCGGAAGTGAAAGGCATTGGCCTCGGCGGTTAGTTGGGAACACGTTGGCAAGCTCTGTGGGCCGCGTTCGCTTTGTATGTTCTTCGTCTTCCGTCCTTTGCACCCTCCTCCCTGTCCTCGTCTTCTGAATTGTCTCCGCAGCATCCTCCTCTTCCTCAAACTTCTCCTCCTCCTCTTCCTCCTCCTCCTCAAGCTCCTCCTCAGCATCCTCCTCCCCGCCCTCCTAATTCTTCTTTCCTCCTCCTCTGCGTCATCCTCCCCGTCCTCCGCCCCCCCCCCTCCCTCCTCCCCGCGCCCCCGAGGTCATGGGGCATTTCCAAAAGAGAAGCTGGGTGGCTTCAGGAGCTGAACCCATGGGCGACGAGGGCTTGGAGACTCCCAGCGCGTAGTCTGGATCTGCTGTGGGGGCCTGCTCCACGCAAGCAACTTCTCCCGATTTTTATAAAACCCGCTAACCCCCTTGTGGCCACAAGGCTGCGCGGATGAGGTTTCCTGTTGTTTTCTGCGCCCTGCACTAGTTCCAGCTTGCAGCTTCCAATGCTACTC